AACTTGATTAACAGAAGAAACATTTTTCTGCTTACAGAGAACAAGTTTGAAACCAGTAGATATACTTCTTGTAATCTGGATTACAATTTTTATTTAAAAATAATAATAAAAAAAAAGACGCTTTGTGAAGGTTACCTTAAACAATGGAGGATCTTGCAAGGACCATGAATCTGAAATATGTAAAGAACAAGATATAGGGTCCTGAAAATCAAAAGGTACAAGACATAATCTATTTTATCCTTAAGATCATGGAGAGAGTTCTTGTGTGTTTTAAATAGTATATAAGATAAAAAGAGAAGAGAAAGGAGAGTAAATATTACTCAGCTCTTAAGTAGTATAGGACTGGGTGTTGGATTTAATCTAATAAATCTATTTGTGGGCACATATGATTAATCAATGTGTATTGCTATCTTTCAGGATAACCCACTAAAGTGATCAATTAAGTTGGGTTAATTTGGTATTTAAATGTAATCATGGGGTTATATGTGCAGATACCAGGTTGTAATTGTAATTTATTGAGGGGCTAAATTACAAAAGTACAACATCTATAAATAAGGGGTTATGGTCCCTAACCTAGGGTTACATTCTCTAATTCTCTACACCCCCATCTAGCTAGAGAAATTCGGATTTAGAGAAACCCTAAGGTTAGAAGATCCAAAACCCAAAATCAAGATCAAGCAATGGATTCAGGTATAAGCTTCCGCTCTTTTAGATCCTTGTTAATCTCTTTGAATTAATCATGGCTATATGGTTTTAGATCTTAAGTTTTATGATGTAGATCTAACAAGTGGTATCAGAGCCACCTTGATTAATTCTTAGGGATTTAAGTTCTATTGGGTTTTTGATCTTAAATCTCTGGTTAAAGATTCAAATTTTTTGGGTTCGGATGAACAGTAAAATTTTTTTGGTTCGGGTGAACAGTAAAATTTTTTGGATTCGGATGAACAGTAAATTTTTTGGGTTCGGATGAACAGTAAAAAAATTTTGTTCGGGTGAACAGTAACGAAAAGTTTTCGGATGAACAGTAAAGAAAATTTTTTGGGTTCGGATGAACAGTAACTTTTTGGAATTTTTTGGATTTTTCTTTGATTTTTCCTTCAATTTTTTTCCATTTCTGGATCTGTTTTGAAAATAAAAATCAAAGATTTTTTGTGTTTGACGGCGGCGGTTTCAGTTTGAAACCCTAAGGGTTCATGGCGAAAATCAAGGAGGTGGTTACCTCAAACGAACCTCGCGTTCGTTCAATTTTAACCGAGCTTCGCGCTCAACGAACCTCGCGTTCGTTCTAAGGTGAACCTCGCGTTCAACTAAGGTGAGCGTCAAGCTCAATTTCAACGAACCTCGCATTCGTTCTAAGGTGAACCTCGCGTTCAACTCAGGTGAGCGTCAAGCTCATTTTTTAACGAACCTCGCGTTCGTTCTTCAGACGAACCTCGCGTTCGTACTTCAGACGAACCTCGCGTGTTAATCTCTTTGAATTAATCATGGCTATATGGTTTTAGATCTCAAGTTTTATGATGTAGATCTAACACTGGGACCATCACTGACCTTTGCATTCTAATTCTAGAGGATGTTATTTCCAAAAGGAACATATTTGATTGCAAGAATCAATTAATGATACTTCATGGTTAGGGGTGCAAACAGATAAGCCATTACTGTTTGCGGTATTATCGTGAATCATCAGTCCATTATGATCGACCATTACAGAGAAATGCCTTGTAGTTTTGTTCTTTCTCGTAATAGATATAACAACAAAGAAATTAAGAAAAATAATTTGATGAGGGTATCCTTCTCTAACCTGTGCATCATGATCATAGTTTCTTTATTAAACATAAACAAAACTAAATGAACACACAATATCCTTTTTGCCCAAGTGATCCTCCTATATTAATCTTCAGCATACAGAAATGGTATACCACTGAACATATGTCCTCCAGAAAAGCAAAACTATATCAGCTCTACTACTAAACATAGACATTACATGGGCTTTTTCCTAGAAACCACCTCTCAAATAGAGTCATCCTATGTAACAATTAGTTGTCAAATACCAAGTATGTTAAAGATATCATCGAAAAAATTAACTAAAAAGTTATCCTAGGTGGTTGATTGCAACAAAAAATCCTTTAAAGACGATTTATGCATGAATTGAAAATCAAAAGGGAGTTTCTATAGAATGACCATGTTTTAAAAGACACTTTTTATGAAAAAAAAAACCAGATTTCATCCATTACACCCTTTCTGTTCAAGCTTGGAGCCTCTTCCCATTCCAATTTTCTAACTTAAAAGGGAAGCAAAAAACAATTTGAACAAGGCCCAAGGGCCAGTTTATATGAA